GGGTATTTTATCACTATATATCATTACTGTTGTCTGTGATGTTTCTCGTCTCTGAGACATTGTAACTTGAACAAATTAGCGGAAAACACAAGCCGTGAATGTTCCCGAAATTTTTTTCGAGATATTGATAATTTTTTATGGAAATTACGCATGATTACTCGTGGGTGCGACACAAACTGATTCACGGTATGTTGTTGCGTTTTCTTGGATCATTTGTACGTTGCGATGATACTTTGGTTCACTCTGGCTCTGATAAATAAAATGTAAGGAAATTTAATCTATCATTCGAGCCTTAAATATCACCTTGTACAGCTACTTTTCTTAGCTCTGTCATTGCCAACTAAAGATGGAGTTTTATACGCTCATGCTCATACTGTCAATTCAAAGCTTGTTTATTATGTGATCATCACTTGCAACCAGTGATATTTTGAGATTGAATTAGGCTTCTACGAGCAGCATAGAGAGAACTTCCTCAGTTTCCACTAGACGGATGAACTTATGCTTGCTTTGAAAATATGCACATACGTATAGAAGAAATTTCCTCGTGACTAACGACCTGTTGTCGATTGATTAGCAAACAGGAAAAAGGGTCGCTCTGTTTTTGATACCACACATATTGACTGAGTATTTAATAAAAAACTTTCATAGTTCATTCAAAACAATAGTGGACAAAGAACTTGAGAGGTATTTGAGTTGTAATCGTGAATACAACTGGATCGAGATTTCCGTCTTCAACTTCCCCGCTGAGTTTTCCATTTTGAGACTACTAGATCAGTAAACGTTTTACTATGTCTTCAGCAAGAGAACTCGTTCATTTGAAACATACGAAGCGAAACTTAAAGTAAGATTTCCTACTTCTCAATCTTGACACAATCTTTGCATATCGCAATAAGGACGTGTTTTTCAAAAAGATGTTTTCTCTTAATCCTGGTTCATCGTAAGATTTGTAGGATTCGTTATTTACTTTTACTCTGGCGCTTTTGAGTACTCAACAAATAGCGCATTTTGTGGGCACTCAGCTGCATCATATTTGAAGAAGCAGTATAGCAAAGAAAATGTTGCTGAAATTCTGGTGGTCCTTCTGATATACTGCTGGTTTA